TTACAATGGAATTTCCCAACATCAAGCAGTCTATTTCTATCCAGGTGTGATTTTCTCTTAAACTTTGTGGTTATCTTTGTTATTGTGGGAACCGCTGATGATGCAGGGGCAAATGGCGAATAAAGAATATAAGATTTGCTGCTGAATCGCTTAGAACTGTTGAGTATAGACACTTCGGAAGGACATTATAGCTTTGCAGCTAAAAAGGCATATGTGCGGAGTTAATAGATTATAGGATAGTTTTCTCAGATCTTAGGCTACGTTGAGAAATTCTTTGAAAAATTAACTTTTTAACTAACAATTGTTTTCATTTAAAACTGGCGAACTTTTTCTTCACTTATCGTTCCATTAAAGATCTACCCTAGTACATTGAATGATAATGGTTTTATTTCTGAAATGAGGGCTTCTTGTTCTTTACAGCTGTGGTTTGCTTTTTTCTAAAGACAATGAAAAAAAAACGCATTGGCGGATAACTGTGAAACAATACACTTCTACCCATATGCTTCAATAAGTCAGGCAAAAGAATTGATTATATATGAATAACTTACTGCAAGCTGCTAAGAGGCCCAACCTTCTTGTTAATAATATGAAACTGTATCTTATATATTGACGTTTTTTCGGTGTGGCTGCTTGAATTGTAAATATGCCAGATTTTTGTGGGATTCTCCTGTTTAGTAGTTGAGTTTTTAGAAAGTTATCTTTTGCAAAACCGTAACACTTTGGGTCCAATGAAGTGTTCATTCAAAAGCTTGTTCAACAAAAAGTACTTAGAAATGCTTTATCGGTCAAGGATCCAAGGTTTTATGAGAAAAGAATTCGAAAATTTATCAAAGGAGCTCAGCTTTTTTTCCTTTTTTTGAGATTCTAATTTATGCACTTTTAATTCCTACTTTTTTTGTACTGAATGGCTTTACTGAAGATTTGCATCAAGTGATCTCATCGGAACTTCATTATACATAATCATCCTCTAATCTTTTCTGAAGGATTTTGTTTTTGCATGGTGCTGGATCGTCGAGAAGAGTGCAATTCTTTGCAGATCCAAAAATTCCGACAGCGAACAGCAAAGGACTCAGCACGACTCATCTCACCTACACCACTTGCCTCCTCATTGCCGCAGTTGACTATCGAAATGGCCTCCTCACCCTACATTGACTACATCGAGCCGTCTCACTCCTCTCCACGATATTTCAGCAAAACCTCATATGCTCGACATTCGAGGAATAAAAGCCTCACACGACTTGATCAACCTGGAAGTTCTGTAGCCATGTGAGTTCATTGCTGGTCGCATATTTGCAGTTCATCAAAGCAAATGATATTCTCAAAGAAAAAAGGATTCGGGTAACACCTTAAGAGCGTGTGAAGGATGAAAAGCGTAGTTTCTACTTGTTCTTCTAACTGAGCCCACACTTCTTTAATTGTTTATCTAAAGCTGATCAACTTCTTTGACTCCCCATCTCCTCAGTGAATGCTGCTTTCTTTTCTGAAACTCTTTTCTTGCTATTCGCGTTCTAAGCCGCAATTAATCACAGACGCTGAGACACTAATGTGCCCGTATAATAAATGTCTGATAGCAACATTCGCTTGATTATGAAACATCGCCGAACAAGTCTAATAACTGTGGTCTCATTTTCGCTGGAGCGTTAGTAAAATCATCTGCTAGACTTGCTACTAACTTGCAAA